CCATCATCCAGCAAATACAGCAGCTATCGCTCCTTCCGCTTCTGCAGCTGGAATGGCACCGCATTCTGGACCGCTAATGAACGTTGCAGTAGCATCTGCTGGTGTCTCAAAACCAGCGACATCTGCAGGCTACTTTGCCACCCCACCACCAGCCGCTTCAATCCGACGTTCTGCAGAGGACTTTTCTTTCATGCCCTCCAGCGGTGGTGGTGGTGGAGGAGCATCCTCCATAGAATCCCCCGGCGGGGACTTCGATGATGAGTTCCGACGTAAAAGACGTAGGAAGGAGAAGAAAAGCGGAGGAAGGAAGGAGAGGATCGAGTAGTCCAGCCGTCTCGCTAGCTTCTACCTTTCCAGAACTCTGTACTATATAGGTATCGCTATATTACTTGTATCGTTTGTGATTTTGTTTTGTGAGAAGGAATGTGGTAAAGGTGGGACCCTTCTGCTAAAAATCCAATTCGATTCTTTTTACGGACAACTTTCCTCCTCACTGATTTCTGTTTTGCTAAGGAGTAAGAGTATCCTCTTTTTATTCGCATTGCCTCCTCCAATGTAGTGGCTTAAGACTGGGCAAATTTTTTCACAAAAATATATTGTATCATCTTTATTTCGACAAAAGAAAACCAGAAGTTAAAAGTGATGGTGGCTGTAGCCACAGTGGTTATGGCTGTTGTGGGAATGAGGGTACTTATTCCTTGTAAAGGGGTTTAATCCTTCAAATCGCACCGGAAGTAAGCCCACAGTGAGAACAGATTAGAAGGGCGGCCATCACTGCGGGCAAGTGAAGCAAAGACGCACGGAAGAGGCTACGAGCTGCGCTACACACCGCACCGGCATTCTCAAGGGGCGTAGAGTAGAAACGTGCCGCGTAATACACTAGCATCGCGTTGAATGGAGCCGCCGCGAGACCTCCACACCAGTTCACCTGACTTGCGCCAGCACCTCCAGCCCCAAGGAAACAGATCAAACTGGCAAGAAGAGAATGGCGCAGTGCCGTAGCTCGGGCGCGCTGTGGTGCAACGTTGGCGGTCATTACATAACCAGCATTAGCGTACTCTCGTCGTGTCAACCAAGATAGAGACATAAAGTGAGGAAACTGCCAGGCGTAGAGTAGACAAGCCAAGACCATAGAGCCTGGCAATAAATAGCAAAATCAGCAAAAATGCCAAATTAAAGGTAAAAGTTAAGTGATATTGGAGTGAAGTACGGTGTCGCCTTTCTAGATGATAACAAATCCTGAAGACAATGACCACCCTTACTAAATTAAATGAGAATTTTAAACTCTATGAGGAGACGGAGGGCATACAGATAGAAGTCAATGAGTGTTTTGTGCAATCGAAGTCAGGTTCAAACCCACAAGACCTCGGGCACTAAGTGAGATAGATAAAGAGGACAAAGACGCACCAGAATTTAGGGAGCCAGTGGCCACAGCCCATCCCATGAGGGGTGGGATGGCGCCAACTAAGGAGCCCACCCATGTGTTCACCTGGGAGACGCGTTTCAGTGGAGTGTACACGCAGGTGTAGAGCAGGAGATTGCCGGCAGCCAAGCTAGCCACGAGGCCGTTTGTGCCCACGTACAGTACCGATAGGCCCAGTGTTGCTGTGGTACTAGCGAACAGATTAGCTCCCATTGGACTGGAAAATTAAAATGAGAATGATTCACCCAGAGTTTACTGAATACCAATTTGAAATTGAACAGGCTAATAAAACCGCCAATGCACATCAACCTGACATCAACGATTACAAAAGTGGTGCCACATATTCATTGTCGTCCCCAATGGAAAGAAAGGAGATTGCAGCAAATGAGATAAGACATAAATCGTGGCCGTGTTTGCAGCCTTCCATCGAGTTATGCATTAAATCCCTCATTTATCGCCCCTCCCACTGTGAAACGTTCCATTCATTCATCCGACCAGGGAATGCAGCTCCACTCATCCCTGCACCTCACTTCTGTATAGTGGAAAAGTGTTTCAGCAACACCGATGGTAGCAGTGTCCACCTAACGAAAGCATTTGATCAAAGAATGCAAACTTTTTTTGATGCATTAAGGTAAGCGGTGGGAAATTTAATGTCTACATCACGGGAGAGTCGGCCGAATGACATTTACAGTAGCACTACAGGTCTTGACTGTTCCAATTACAGCTACTATTCAGCATGAAATCGACTGCGCCTCATGACACCAAACGCTATCAAGAGTACTTAGGTAGCTTGCCTAATTAATTTGCGCACGAGGGGTCGCATTCGGGTACGCTTCATCAAACCATCGTATTGGACCTCCATTATCTGAAAAGAAGGAGAAAAGGGAGGTCAGTTTGCCGTCTAGCATGCGGACTCCTCAATCTTTCTCCTTCTGTTCTTCTATAAATAAGATTGAAAAGAATTTAGAGAGAAGGAGAGCTCGCCCACTGGTTTCACACACCCAAATACAAGGAAAGAGGGAAGAGAGTTGGCATACCTGGTTGATGGAATTGGCAGAGGCAGAGGTAAGCAATGTACCCACACCAAGGGCGAGGATGGAGGTGGCGGGATGAGCAAGGAAGGCCTCACAGACTAGAGGCGAAGGCGCCGCCAGTGCGCAACCGGCCAGCGCCGTAGAGACAACTAGACCCGTCAGACGTGCTTTTGAGAGGGCCGCCCACACGCCTACCAAATTCACTAAGCCAACACTACCCCTCTCGGAGCGACTGACGGGTGATAGCGCTTCGGTCCTTGCTTGATGCGAAGACGACAATGGAAAGGTGTTGAATGAAAAAGACTTTCTAGATTCAGCAATCGACTTGTCGAAAGAATGAGGGTTAATGATACGTCAGAGATAGATCCATTTGACTAGTTCGGCTGAAGTAAATGATCTACGAGTGATGCACATAAGCAGAAGCTGAGGCAATAAGACCCTAAATACGTCTGACGGTGCTATACACGAGCCAGAAATGAAATATCTAGTAGTATGAAAGACGAGTGGATAGACGCCTTCGACAAGATGGAAGTCTAATAGACGATATCATTGC